ACGGGGTCTATCAACAATGCCAGAAAAACCAAAGGCGACACAAGTCCAGAATCCATGCAAAGAATACACAGCAGCAAAAGAAGACATAGACAAGGCTGCAGCCTTGGTCCAAGCACCATCTGTGAGACAGGGCTGGAAAGATGCAACCTACAGCCCTGGGCTGGGTCTGAAAAGAGCTTCTGCAGCAGGGCTGAGAGCAGGTACATGCACTGCACAACTTGGGAGGGTTGAACCCCCTGGCCTTTGCTGAAGTGGGATCCTCAGACCCAGGGGCAGGGTGTGGATGTGGGTCCCAGCTGAGGCTGGTTAGGGTCATTTCAGGCCTATTCATGCCCTGACACCTAATTACATTTTCCACACAGTCCTTCTCCATCTTCTGTGGCCTGGGGTCCCAGCCCTGCCTGGGACCTGATGGTGTTTTTGCAATGCAAATAACACAGCAGTTAATCCGTGATGTGAATTAAATTCATGTCAAGTTCTACTTGAAGGGTGCCCACACAACCTGCCAGGAGGAGTGTAACTGCTAATTAGCACCCATGTTGGCTGTCGGGTGAGGACATGAAATGTGTGAATGGAATACAGAGAATAAACTACCCACGCTGGGAAACTGCAAGTTGACACAGCCTTTTCTATGCCAGATTTTCAGTGCTCTAATAACAGATATCATCAAAAGGGAAGGGAACTCATAGGGCTGTAGCATTTCAGACACAGGAGACTGAGAATCAAGATTTTGGATACAAATAATATTGAACTTTACAGGCAAAGGTACCTTAAGAGATAGGTGTAAGCTACAGTGAAACCCTTAGTGCTGTTTTAAAAAGGTAAGATAAGCAAAAAGAAAAGGAAACTAAACTGTTTTGGTTCCTCTGTGTCTCTGCACCCTCACCCTGCTGGCAATATGGGTAGTTTCCCAGCTTCTAACCATATTGATTTTCTTAGCAGAAAAAGCCTAAGGTTATCTAAACAGTTTAGTTTCTTGATTCTTTGTGTTGAATTCATTATTTTCTTTCTGCCCGGATATGCTACTCTGTGTTGCACATGGTGCAGCAATCTATAACCTGAGCAGAAATTGTTCACAGAGCTGGCCAGCAATGGAGGCGGGTGTGTGCTCTGGTGATTAACACATCAACACTCCATCACCGGCCAAGATTTCCATTAGGACTCCTCAGAGGGACAATGGGCCAATTACTGGTGGTGTCAGAGGATGCAGTTCCCAAATTTGATGTGTTTCCTTGTTTCCTGAGCTGTGTTCAGCCTTGCAGCACCAGCAAAAGGGACCCTTTGAAGGTATTTCCCACCAGGGCAGCTGGTACTGACTTTGCTGAAATGCTCTCATTTGTTTCATCCCAAATGCAGAACAAAGAGAAACAAGAGGAGTTTCCAGGTCAGGAATGTAATCATTTGCATACTAGGTCATCCCATCTCTGTCAAATCCCTCTTGTACCTGAGATTTCAGAGGCAGGTGAAAGTCTCTTGCTAGGGCTGGTACACACAGAAAACCTGGCACGTAACACAGGCATGAGATGTGATTTCTCTCCAGCTCAAGGCCACCATAAATCACTGGCCACGCTCCTGCCTTGGAAAAGTCACCCAGGGCAGAGTAAATCCATTTGTCTGGGTAGGAGCTGTGCTGGAGCAGCAGAGGACGGGACACTCCTGCAGGCAGAAGTGTTTCAGAATCTTTGAACTCCGTGCAACAACTCCATTGGGCTGGAACCAGGTTCATTGCCAAAGCAGGTATTGTAGCTGAAGGCCTCATAGTACAGAGCACAGGTGGGATTTGACTGCTGAGCAATGCACGTAGCCATGAGAAGCTTCTCTTCCTTGAGGAGGAAGGTGAAACCTCTTCAAATCACTCTAACACTCCATCTAGGTTCTCCATCCACTGTAGAGCACGTAGCCATGAGAAGCTTCTCTTCCTTGAGGAGGAAGGTGAAACTTCAAATCACTCTAACACTCTATCTAGGTTCTCCATCCACTGTAAACCCCCTCTGCTCCTCCCACTGACCAGGCAGACTGTTGCATGGCTTGTGCCAAAGCATGAATGGAGGGGATTGATCATGCCTGGGTGCTGCTTGTCACCCCACTTCATGGTCTGTGACCTGTGCCTGATTGAACACCAGCAAGCAGCCCCTCCATCTCAACATGCCTCAGCCACCCCTCCAGTGCTGCTAGTCCCAGCTGTAATTGTCATGGAAAAAGCCCTTGGAAGCAGTGTTTTATGGAAGGACAAATAGATTCTGACCGGAGTCCTGCAAGGCTGGGAAAGAATCACCACAGGCTGTATATGGTGTGCTGGGACAGGCTGTACCATGGCTGCTGGTGGGCAGGTGACTCTGCTTTTTTTTTGTGTGTTATATTCAAGGAGCTATTAAACCAGCTCTCTTCCAGCATTGTTACAGATGCTGCTCTGATCTGCTGCATTAAGTAATTTGTGCTTCTCCCCCAGAAAAGAATTTATTTCCTCTCTGTGCTGGTGACAATGCTAATATTAGTGAGTGTTACTGAACCGTTTCACATCTGCTCCAACAGCAGCTGCTCTGCAGGGGGGTGACTTGACAAGGGGACAGGGCACAAGAGAAAAGTCAGGCTAGGTGCTCAACAGAAGGAGCAGGAAGGAATGGCTGGAGACTATGGGCAGCTGGAGAGGGGCATGCAGCACTCAGCAGCTCAGGGATGCAAAGAAGGATATAAATACAATATAAACAGATCTCTTCCCAGATGCATGTTTGAGTGGTGTGAAATGCCCCACATGAGAGGGGTCTGTTGCATAATTTTCACCAGGGAGGCCTGTGGGGATGTGTCAAATTAGTTCTGCTCAAAACCTGCTGGGAAAGCAGTCTGGCAAAGAAAACAACAATTTGTAAATTTTCTTTTCTCTTGTGTTAGCAAAAATCAGGCTCAGACCATCCTGATTCTGAGGATGAGGAAATATGTCGAAGTTCATGTCTGTACTTCAGCAAAGCAAAGAGGCTCACTGGCAGCCAACAGCTCTGCAATCAGGAGGTCCTTCTCCTAGAGGGGTCAAACCAAACTGGGGAGCATCTCTGATGGACAACAGGGTGAGACAGAGCCCTGGTGGTACGAAGCAGTGCAGCTCTGTTCTCTTACTGGGTTACAGGTTTTGCAGCTGGAACAGTCCCCGCACTGATGTTTCCCTGTGCAGGGGATGCTGTGTAGCTGACTGTGGGAACCAGGCTTCTAACCCATTTTAGTGATTTTAAAGGAATATGATCCCTGACTTACGCTCTTACTGCATTCCAGCAGGTAAGCAGGTCGGTTCTGGATCTGTGGAGATGAAATGAAAAGCCATTTGGTCAACATATCAAGGACTAAATTGGAAAATTCAAGAACTTACGAGTGTAATTATATATTTTTTTGTCCACCCTATAGAGCCAGTCAGGGCTGGGGCTGGAATGTGTCTCTAGTGCAGGGAGAAGGTAGACCAATGGAAAGCAATGCAGCAACCTATATCCAGCCAGGGAGGGAGATTCAGATTTCTTAAAAAACGTAGATCATTATTTTTTTCTTCCCAAATAGCAGGGATTTGCAAATCTTCCCTCTCCCGGCAGAGTTACGGCCCCTTCCGTGACTCTGGGACAGAACGGCCCCACGGGGAGCGCGGGCTCCCGCAGAAAGAGCATTTCACAAACCTCCGTCATGCCAAAACAAGTTTTCCTCCTGTGCAGGGCTGAGACCAAGACATAGTGAGAAACCGGCAGCACTAAACCCTGCATGTAAGTGCATTTCATGGTTTTAAATCCCGGGAAGATGCCCTGGACGGAGCCCGTCCTTGGCCAGCTGCTGCAGGGGGTGCTGGAGATTGTGCTGCGCCAGGGCCGTGCACTGCAGGCTTGTTCACTTCTGAAAAGATTTATTTGTGTTGTAAAACTATCTGCTGCTGAATGGATGAGAAGAAATATGTGAGGGAAACCATTATCATTTAATACTTATTCCGTTTATTTTCTATTCGTTTAGCAATGGTGGCATTCTCATTATAATTAAAGGGAGATGGGTGGCCTTCTAATGCTTTTCCACATGTGTTCCTTCCTTCCCTTTGAAACTGCTTGGCAGATTTGGGTCATATATTTTCTTCCTATCGTTCAGCAGGCGAAGAGGGGAAAAAAATTCCCAGCACCAATCTTTTCTAATACTTCTACATTATTTCAATCCAGCAGAGGTTTGCTCTGCCTCAAGCTAAAGAAAATCTATTAGGCTCTTTAAAGAAGTAAGTCAAAGGGGATGCATCCAGGATAAGGTCAGGCAAAGATGTGTACAGCAGAGAATGATAGTACTCAATATCATTGCTTTGGCTGCCTGGAAAAGTTCACCCCACAGGAAGACAAACTCCACTTAAACTTGTCTCTTGTCTTCAAATGTCTGCAAGCTGGAGGCAAGCACTTTACACTTTTTCCTGGCACTTGCCTGAGATAGGTGGGAAACAAAAATTGAGAGGGCAGGACCAGATGTGCAGTGCAAACTGAGAAGGGGTTAAAGCTGGAACTGCCCAAAAGTCATGTTGCTGCTATCTTCTGGGCATTTTAGAGCATGCTTAATAATGCACATATTAAACAGCTAGTGCTTGTAAAAATTGCTACAGGTAGCTTTTTACTTAAAAAACAGCATGTGCAGCTCATCAGGGCACATATTTAAGCAGATGATTTATGGTTAAGTTAGGTGTCTATAAACCTGTATTGTTACACCCACTGCTACAGATTTTTTTGTTCAGGGTGTGAGATAGGGACAGAGCTGCTGGAGGTTCCTGACACACTCCCAGACAGTTGCACATGGAACAGTTTCAGAAATTAGGATCCTTTGGAGTGTGACTCAGCCCACACAAAACACTGTGTCTGTGGAAGGTCCCGTCTGTGCTGCTGAGTGTAGCAGGGCATGAGGGTGACAGCTCAGTTAGACACCTCATGTCAGAGGGAATGAATACAGAAAGTGCTGCTGAACTGCATCTTGCCTGCTTTTTTTGGAGTTTGGCAGTTAATGAGGGCTCAGCATCAGCCTTGGCACATCTCTGGTTCTGTGACAGTCAGGTACCAGTAGCTCCTCCTGCCTTGGTTTTGATACATCCCCAAGCAAAGAAACAGTCTTTTTGTCTATCTGGAAAATGAAGACAAAGAGGGAGATGGCAATGTGTAACTTTCTGCCATTTCTCCCGCTGATCCAGCTCCACAGCAGTTTCAAAATACCCTCAGCTTTGGCAAGCAATGATTTTGCTCCTACTCCTTTCCTTTGGCTGTCTCTTCCCTCTCCAAATCCTGGAACTCTCACAGAGTTTTCTTGTTGACTCTTTAACCTCCTCTGTATTGCAGGTGTTGTCCATGAACTTCTAAAGCACCACAGCCATAGAGGAAAGGGGAAAACTAGTTTCATTTTGAAATCCTGGTCTGTAAAACCTTTTATATAGCAGCGTGCCAGGAGAGAAAATATAATCTGAAGAGGATGTTTTAGAAGCAATTTCACTTTCCCCACTTCAGCAGCTCTGGAGTGCTGGAGGGAGGATGCTGCAGGAAGAAGGATAACCCTGGTGCCATGGTGCTGCCTGGCATTTTCCTATCAGCATCAGGCTGAACACAAGCTTGGAGTGCACACTGAACTCTGCATGGCCATTCTGGACCAACAAATTAAAGGCAGTGGCCAAGAATACCCTAAGCAGTGGTGACTGAGGGGTCTGGCACCAGTAATTTAAAATGTCACAAATTGGAATTTCCAAACCCCTAATCTCTGAAGTACTGAAGTTGCCAGGAAGGTTTTGCAGTGGCTGTTGGTTGGGCAGCCCTGACAGCTGCCTCTAAACACCCTGCCAACCTTCTGCCAGCAGCATCCCCAGCCATGGCTTGGGGAGCTGTGGAGAGCAGCTCTGAGATGTACACGGGGTCTGCTCCTCCACAGGCTGAGCGTGGCCCTGCTCATTGTTGCTGCTGCGAATTGTTCTCCAGAGGAGTCCCACAGCAGTGGGGTGTGCTCTGCTAAGAAAAGGCTCTTACACTGCCTGGCAGCAAACAGCTATCATGAGGGCTATCAATCCTCATGCTCAAACTCAACAGTTCCAGGCTAGGGATGAGCCTGTGAGAACTGTTCCTCACAAAAACAAAGGTGTGCTGAATTCACTCGCTTGCTTACAGATTCTGAAGCCCAGATTTGGCTTGTTAAATTGTTTGGATTTTGGGGCACAGGAAGAAGGTTAAGTCAAATCCCACCACAACCAAACCCCCAGAGCTCCCTGTTTCCCTCTGCTTCCTGTGATGGGGCATCAGGAATAGTTGCAGAGTTGAATGGGTTTTGGTTTGCAGCCCTGGTCTTGCCTGGGGATGAAATGCATATGAGGGAGGAACTCTCTGCAGATAGAAATGGAAGAGTCAGAATGTTGACTGGCAAAACCTCTGCCCCTCTGACCTCTCCAGCTTAGCTCATAAAATAAAAAATTTCCATTGAATCATGTCAACACAGAGGGTATCCCAATTGCCTCTGCTTCCACCCAGCAGTTTTTATTCCAACATGACATCTCCCAGCAGCTAATTCCAGTGTTCCTTTAGCTAATAAACTACAGAGAAATCCCAGTACCTTTTAAAAATCCTTTCTTTGGAGATAGCTGTATCTGATTCTCTAATAAAGATTCTATTAAGAGAAGCCTCTGCTGTGCTTTGTTAAGGAATTGATGCAATTTGATTTTTATTACATGAACAGACTAACATGGATACTAGCTGTCTCTGATACAAAGAGTCACTGCAAAAAGTATTGTGCTTCCTCATGCACACCAAGATAAAGTAATTAACTTTATATTAAAAAAAATCTCTGCTGAGATCTGTTCTGCATAATTCAACACCTTGTGCCAATTAAAGGGAACTTCTTTGGAAAATGGTTTAGGCTGTAATTTTACAAGTCTTTAGATTTGTGTGCAAATATGCATGGCTTTATGGATGTTTTGATGAGTGTAATTTTTCTAGTAGAGTTTACACATTTGTTTCCTTTATTTATAAAGTGAGACTTTGTAGAAGAGCTCCTTTATCAGGCCTAAATCTCAAACTTGGTGCCCCTGTCTGCCCTTCTTCTGTTGGGACAGAAGAATCCTGCCCAAGATAAGAAAACTCACTCAAGCATCCCCTCCTCTGCCCTTCTCCCACATCTCCTGCCCTTCCCAGCCCCTCAACACTGACCCACCCTGGATGGCAGGACCAGGGTGGAGAAATCAGCCCAGAGACTCTAGTGGTTCACCAGGTTGTTCCACGGTGCCTTTCTGAGCTGCAGAGAAAATTTTAGGACAAATTTGGAAACATAAAAATGAACTGAGCTGGGAAATGTCTGAGAAAAGTCCTGAGAGAAATGTGCAGGATAGGTTGGAGTTGTCTGTCACCATTGAGAGCCTACCCTAATGCTGTGAGCAGCTCATGCTGCTCTCCCATGACACACAGAACTATCTCAACACCCCTCTGACTTTAATTTGTGGCAGGGTTCAAAATAGCTTAAAAACATACAGTCAGAACAAAGCATTTCTTGTTATCCTGGGATGCAGCAAATCAGAATGGTTGCTTGATTGATGTGGCTTTCTGAGAAGATGCAGTGAGAGTGACTGTGATAAATAAAGACAGTCCACTATTGGCAACAGTAACAAAAATCCATGGCATGGATGGATTAGACCAACATCAAGAGATTAGGTGGTGTGCAATCAGCCATTGAATAGGATAAATACCTTACACATTAGGGCCACATTTTAAAGATGAAAGTGCTAAATGAAGGTCAAATGAGATGCAGAGTTTTGTTCTCAGTAGCCTGTCTACTTACCTGGACTGATAAGCTCCACATGAGGGTGATTCAGTTAAGAGGATAATAATTAACAATCCCCCAAAGCAGACAAACTCTGTCACTGAGCCAGTCAAGAGTCTCATTCCCCCTTTCATATCCTCAGCTTGCAAGTGTTCTAAGTCACTTATGCCAGCATTAGGAAGTTAAGGTAGAGCAGCAGCCAATGTGCTTTAGCTGACATGAAGCAGCTTGAATTGACTTAACATCTGGAATCTGCCCAGCTGGACTTCAGTGTGGTGGTTCCCAGTGCCACAGATGGAGACTCTGAGGCTCAATGATTTATCCCAGCATTTGGGATTCCAATACTTAGAAAAGTGCCCCCTTTTCCATCTAGGTACCCATCATCTACATCTAAATTTTGTCTATATCCACATCACTTTGCACTTATATCTGCCCAGACACAGCTAGTCTATGGTGAAGATTTTTCCTAGTATTAATTTTTCTATTATCATAATATTGCTAAGTAGCCCTGATAAAATAAGATCCAAAAAATACACTAGTTTCCATTAGAGTTATCTACTGTTTCTTTGGGTGTTTGTCAGACATTCATGTTTCACTCAGTAAATTTTACTTTGAACCCATGACCACTGATTCATCCAGGGTGAATCTTTGGAGCTTACTTCAACAGCTCTAAAGAATTCAAATGGGGTGGAGGCCAGTACATCCCTTCACCAGCTTTTCCCAAGCACTTATCACTGTGCCCAGGTTGCTCAGCACAAAGCATATGTAGATACACACATGCTCACTTTAAGTAAAAACTCGGACCCAAAGAAATTATATATTTAGACAAGTAAGACATGCAGTAGGTGGAAGAATATTAAACTCTTCTTCACTCTGAGTGGGAGAAAAGAGGGAGAGATCTGAAGCACAAGGTATTAAATAATATTAGATCATCTTTTTATGGCACAAAACATGAAGTTGCTTTAAAAATTCTAGTATAAATATGGCACAGCACCATAAGAGTAGAGTCATGTATATCTGTATTAAGGTACCTGTAGTAATAGATCTTATATCTGTCCAGAAAGGGCAATATACTACCCAGCTACTAAGAACTTTTACACTGATACAATTTATAAAATGGTATTGATTTTCTCTTGTAGTAGAAAGACATGTTCCCTTCAAGTGAAACAATGTACTGGTAAAATTATTCTGGTTAGTGGTCTGTAGGAGAGCTTGAAACTTTTAACACTTGGAACACTCTTCCACAGATATAGGAAACACATAATTTGGCACTTCATTTTTCTTTTTTTATTTTTTAAATTTTCTTCCACTTTAGATTTTAATATTTAGGAAGGAATCTGCAGAAAAATCAAACTACCAGTGAGTTCATTTGGGGAAAAAATAGGGATTGTTAAAACTAATGCTATGTTATTTTAAGGATCATTTTTGTATATGATCCAAATACAACTGTAAATGTCATGCACAAAGGCTTCTTACTAGAATGCCATTATTTTCTCTTCCTGTTATTATTCAGTTTAGTAATCCCACAAAACCAGCATGCTTCAGTTTGGCCAGAGTCAATAAAGGAAAAATCATCACCTGTAAAAAAGATGCAACTTCTCCTCTACCCTACAAGCTTCTTTTGTCTAATATTTACTATTAGTCTTCGGTCCAATAAGTTTTTTAAATTTTTTGGTTTTTTTTTTTCTTTTTTGTTTCCAAACCAGCCTGTTTTGTCCCTATTAGAAAGAGGGTGAAATTCTGGCTACAGCTACAACTTGCAAGTCAGTAAAACTAAAACTAAATGTTGCCTCTGACTCTTCAACAATCTATTTGCACCTTGAATTTAATTATATTTGTTAAATACTTTTATTTTTCTTAATACAGAATAATCCTTGTGCTACAGCCTTTAGTGAGAATTAAGATAAAGTTACAATCACTCCAATGCTATCGTATTATTAGTCCTACATATTTCTCCCTTTTCTCTGTTGGAATTTGAATTGCTTTCTCTGTCCCAGTATAATAGCCTGGTCCATGAGCATCCTGGCTAATGAAGAGAGTCTGTTGTGGATTTGTGTCTTATATCTCTGGAGCTCCACTGCAGTAATAGATTGAGTGCTGAGACCTATAATTTTTTTCCCCATAAAATTATTTGAGCATCTGTGAGGTCTCTTTTGCTATGCCAAAATGGTTTAGAATTCTTCACAGACTGAGAGTTGTGGGTTGCAAGGACACTGTGGAGCATGCAGACAGCATGACTACATTGCCTTTTCCTCCTCTGACATCTGTGCTAAGACAGAACAACATCTTGGGGCCATATCCATGGGATTAAGAGCTTAGAGATTCACTGGGCACAA